ACAAAAATGGGACAGAAAAATTCCCACGAAAGGAAACAAAAGATCCCATAAGCCACAACATTCTGTTATACTTAAAAGAAGGGTATACACTAAAAAATATGATGAGTACACTTCTGTCATTGCCCATTTTGCACTGGGAATAGACTTGAATTCCAGAAAAGACCTGCTGTCACAATGCCTAATGAGAAGGTGACTGCATTACTGCCTTGATCTCTTAACATTTTATTTGTAACTTCATTATTTCTGCCTCTTCTCTGCCAGATGTGAGTGATAGACCTTTGTAAAGTGGAGTTTCCTGCATGTGACTTTGTGTAATGTACACTAGTTTTTCTGACACAGTGAGAGCTTTGGGATAATTTTCCTAAATGCTGGCAGTCAAAATCAGAACCAGAAAGCAAGAATCATTAAAAAAATCCATGCATTAATTAAATATTATTCTGGGGTAAGGGAATCTTCATATTTTTGCTTTGGGGTTCTCATCAAACATGTGTCTTACATTACCTTTTACTAAATATCTCTTTGACTGTTTTTGATTGTGTTAAACAATCAGGAACAAATTTGGCGTGTAGTTTGTTTACTACTCAACAATTAGAAAATTTGTCCTAGACTTCAGGCAGCAGATAATATCTCTAGCTTCCTTTTAATCTATATTTTTTTAAACTTGTTTAAAGCAGAGTTCCAGAATCCAAACTGAAAAGGAGCTGTGTATTCTGTCTAAGGCTTTAGATCTTGTCGAGATTGGATTTATCGAACTTTTGTTGTTCTGCCTTTAAATGGCGTCATTGGTCTGTAGCCTGCAGGCCCAGACTACGCAGCTGATTTATTTTATTGTTTTACTTTTAAATGTGGGAATTGCTTTAGGCATTTATGCTAATATTCATAATTTCTGAATTAGTGTTGTATTGTTACAGACATTCTACTGGGTATGCAATTGACTGAAATGGGAATGAACTGCATAATAGACATTAGTATAAAAGTTGACATAAGCCCTACATTTTAAATAAAGCCAGACAAAGCTGGTAGCTGCTATGTGAAGCTGCTTCATCTATTGCTGTTCTGCACCCATTCACCTGACCGTCATTCTCTTTGTCGGTCCTTCAGTATAATCATGGCTCAGAATTTTGGCAGCAAAGAAAATTTATTCTTCATGGGGACAGTGGGTTTTTTGTTTTGTTTTGCTTCTAATCACTGTCAAATTGTGGCACTCAGCACATAATTCTCGTGTCTATCAGCTCAATTTCAGAAAAAGCAGCATCTTTTTCCTGCTRACTTTTAAGCCAGGGCTTGAAAGATCTAGCAGGTCACTAAGTTTGGTCCTGCAGCAGTGACAGGAATCATGTTCTAGCCTGCATGGTAACAACACAGTTTATTTGGTTCTTTTTTCTCTAGTGTTGATTTCCTTGTTGTGTTTGTAAGCCTGATGTTAGTTGCTTTCTGAGCTTTAGAATGCTGGTGGAAGATAGAAACAGTGATTTCACAATTTGAAGCAAATACAATAATATGGTGCTCAACTAGAAGTGGGAGACTCCCAAGGACAGATTCCAGCTCATCCCTGCTTTTTGGGTCTCCAAGAGAGAACAGAGTAATTCTGCTTCCTTTGGAAGGGTCAGGTTGGCTCTAAGTAGGTTCACACCTGAATGCAGTTGTAATTCTGTTTTGTGGAAGACCACTTAACAGAGCTATTTTACTATCAGGATGGTTTGGGTTTTTTTTTGCTTCTGGACAACATAGTATCCTGCATTAGTTCAATTTCTGCCTCATTTTTGCAGAATCTGAGTGCCAAGAAATGTACAAACTTATTTCAAATGGGCTCTTGCCACTTTGTGTGACGATTGTTTTCTGATAGGACTTTTGCAATGAGTTTGCATTTGTTTTTTAATTCACTATATTTATCAACTTTCAGATAGTTTTGTTGTTCAAAATAATGGCAACAAAGGACTTCCATTATATGTTTACACCAGCAAATTAAAGTTATGCTATTAAGATGTTTCAGATTTGAGCAACAACAAAGGGAGCTGAAATCAAGTTTCCCCAACGTCTTGCATACCAAATTCAGTATTTTCAACATTGTTGGAATGCCCAACTTTAAGAAGTTTTTGAACTTTTGTTATGTAACATACTGCATTGTTTCTTTATGTTGCTCGGCCTTTTCTGAAAGTATAGTTTGGTAGCAACATCAGTAGAAGAAATTCTGTTCATTTTGAAATTTGGTACCCACTTTTTATTTTGTCACCCCCCTCCCCCAATCAAGAGAATGAAAAAAACTTGTTTGGTGGCTAGTTGACATTGCAACTTAATTGTTAGAAAGATTTGATCCATACCTTGTTACCCAAGATCTACTTTGTTTTGTAATCCTTTTGTAGCTGCAAGGAAGTAAATTGATAACAGCTTCTCTTTAAAAGAAAATCTTATATTGACCTAAGTTTATTTCAGTTCCAGGTTTAAATGAAATTTACGTTGCATTTAAAAAATATTTCGAGTGATTATAGTGTATTAGAACAGTGCAGGATATCCTAATTATATTTTTCTGAATTACCATAGTTTTCCCTTTGAATTCAAAAATCTGACTATCCTATCCTATTTCAGTCCATTTGATTTCAGTTTAAAATTCCTAATAGCATATTACATGGATTAGACAATTGAATAGGAATTTCTTGCTATTTTTTGACAGGTGCTGTCAGGAGCCATGCCTTGAATTTAGGTCTTTAATCTTGTGAACATTAGTTATGACATACTTGTTTTCTAATGTTAAAATTTTCAGTTAATGAGCAGTATTTTTGCTGTTGTGGCATCCCACCCCAAAAGGAAGGGAATACATGGCTATGCAGATGCTCATGGTCAAAAAGGAATGACAAAAGTCAGAAGGTCTGTAAAAACTTACAAAGTTTTATCAGCAAATTATACACTTGTAATGGAAATTGATAGGTTRTTCCCTTATTTTCCAGTATAAGTGCAGTGGTTGGTTTAGAATAAAAGGGTAGAGTAAGAGAGAGAAATTGGAGAGAGGGAAGGAGGAACATCAACAGTCCTTGCTCCAGCTGATAGGATCCTTGATCTAGCTGATGGGATGTCCAGAGTCCTGGAGCATGTCTACCTGAGCTTCATGGGGGTACTTATTTATAGATAAATTTTCCCCACCCTGGAGACAAGTTTCTTGTCTTCCATGCAAATGAGTTATCATACACAGTTCATTCCTCTAGACCTTTCTGGAAATGGGTTGGAGGGTTTCAGAAGGTCTCTGGTGTCTTGATCCCCCACTACTGGGTAGGCTTTTCCAGCAGTCCAAGACCTTTTATCAGCCTCATTCATGGATTTGCACTGTACCATGTTGTGCTTATGTCCAGGAGCCAGAATGAGGTCTTCTGCCCCAGAAAACTGCTGCCTTACCCCTGTAATGCCCTCTTCTCCAGCCTCATCCTGTTACTTCTCCCAGCATGTTATTACCAACCATCCTTGGCTGGCCACACAGCTATCCGGCTGTCCATGTTTGAGACATACACATTGGCCCTGTAACTTCGGGACATCTGCAGTTGTATTTTCACTCCACTGCAGCTAGTTTGGCATCTGTGAAGAAACGGGGAGGAAATATCTTCATAATCAATGGTTATGAAGGTTTAAGGAGGGAAAAAGTAAAATTAAACAATTGGCCCGCCAACCACTTCATCAGAAAACCTATACTGTAAGTACTATGAGTTTCTCAAGTTTCTTTCCATAGTAGTTCCAGTGGCAGAGTTCTGGGTCATGCTTTTCCTTCTCTTCTACTGTTCATACATCAGTGTACAAACCTGTGTCTGAAAATGCAAGTGAATGAGAGAATGGCAATGAATCAGAGAGTCACAGGGCAAACATCTTATTTTATGAATTTTTAAGATGTGAATTGGATCATGAAATTCTTTACTCTGGCTAAATTAATTCTCARTTAATGATATTTTTTCTGGTCTCTTCTATGTTAATTAATTTTTAAATAATTTTGTCTGTGTGACTGTAGATAATACAGCCTCTTGGTGCTACAATAGGAACTCTGTAATTTGAAAAAATATGTATTTGCTTCCTGATTTGTCCTTACAGTCCTAATTATCTGGCTTTTCTTTTTTCCTCCAAGTGACTCACAAAGGTTTTCATCAGTCTGCTTAGTACAATGTAAAACTCAGCAACCTAAGTACATTAAATATTAACCTCTTTTTTCTATGCAATGGTTGTATCCCCGCACTGAAAAGTATTTCATCTAGAATCACATCTTTTTACAGATGAGTCATTTTCTGGTATTATTTGCGTCTCCTAACAATGATATAAAATTTACATCAAGTTGAATTCAAACAACTTAGAGCCCTGTGGAAGATAGTCTGTGMATTACATGCTGCTTTTATGCTTGCAAAACTAACATCTATGAAAGTCTATTTTAATCACTGATTTTTATCCCCTAAAGCAAGATATTTTGATGGCTTGATTTTCTTTTTTCTATTTTGAAAAAAGAGCCCATTATGACCTTTCATATTCCTTGAAGTGATCAAAGAAAACCCCAATGTGTACGTGGTTATTTTGATTTTTAAATAAAAGTCATATTGGCGCCTACTACATCACTCAAATAAAATACAAATTCTCACAGTTTTAACTTACATCAAAGATGGAAATCATTGTGTGGTTTTGGAAACCAAAGCAATTCCAAGATAGACACAGTTGGATTTTTTTTTATTTGACAGCGTGTTTCGTACACTTAGTAACATCAGTTTGAAGTTGAAAATGTGCATTCTAATGAAGAAGGAAGACTAGGGGAACCTTATAGTGATTCTTTTAGGATTAAATCCAACTAGATGACACAGTTGCATACACTTGTAATGGATCTGTACAGCCAAAGAAAACTTTTAAAATAATAATTTTGCTCCTTTTTAGATGTGTATATAGGCTACAAAGAGCTATTTATTGAGTATGCTGTTAGTAATGCAAAATATCTTGTAGGTGATCCTGTAGATTGATAATAATAGTTGTGTTTCTTTTGGCAGGTTGTCAAGTTGTTAAGTAACAAAAGATCTCAAGCTGTTGGAATATTAATGTCTAGCCTTCATTTAGACATGAAGGACATTCAGCATGGTAAGTGAAATAAGTATTGATTATTCTCATATCACATAATTAATAATCTGGAAGTGCTAAATAATTCTGTCTTTTGATATATAAAATAAATTAATATGAGGTCATTTTCACACTATGTTTTCTGAAAACAGATGCTTCTGGCATTTATACTTCTCTTTCAGCATCAGTCATACAAGTGATATACAACATAGACACTTTCATTTTTTGTTTTTTTGAAGAAGAAAGAATGATATGTTGTTTATTTTAATTCAGATCACCTTGGGACATACCCAGAAAAGTTAATTATAACGTTTAATTTATTTGCTTTATAAAATAGTTCCTATATTTGGGCTAACACAAACTACAGAGCTCTTTCATCTTCAAAAACATTTTTTACCAAGAGAAATTTTCTAGGGGAGTGTAATACTTTTCACATTTATGCTAAGAGACAGTAGTGCAAAAAGGTGAAAAGTGGAATTGCATTTATATTCAGAGCATCCCTTATGTTTCCCAAAGGCTTTGGATAGATTTGAAGCAGATTGAATTATCCTGTGAAGTGCCAGCCTATCTATTAAATAAATGTGGTTTCAAGTATAACACAGACTTCATAAATCACAAAAACATCTTGTGAACTTTCTAGGCTACATATTTACAGCCATGCATTCAGTTACTATGATTTGCTTATTTTGCAAAATTATTCACAAACAGAACAAATTTGAGAGCACTGTGTCAGTTATTGAGTAACTCTTAATCACAGTTTTAAGGTTTTATTAAACTGTTTTGATGGTTACTAGACTTCCTCAAGCTGAAGCGCTTAAGATGGTAGTCATAGATCAAGGCGCCAGTACTGGCGCCAAGAAGTGCTTGGTATTTCCAAAGCTGGCAGATGTAGTTCAGTTAAGTCATAGACCAAAATCTGAAAACAATGATATGGTCCTTTCCTTCAGTCAAATATTCAACTTGGTTTCAGTTAATAATGAGAACCTTATGAAAAAAGGAGTCCGCCTAACATCTGTGTCTGTGGTAAAGCCAACACAAGTTCATTGAAAATTTGCTTGCTTAACATGCAACACTAACAATAACATGGCATGAATGTCAGTAGTTGAAGGGGTCAAACAATATTATTCTTAACCTTTATCCTATTACAATATTAAGCACAGATGATCACCTAGGGGCTGTGTGCAGATTTTGTATATTCCTCTTTCAATAGCTATTTTCTAAAACCAAAAGTCTTTGCAAAAGGGAATTTAATAGTTCTCCTACTCTCTTGCTGTGAAGAAGCGATTGAACAAACATGAGAAAACTTTTGTCTTGTGGGGAAATTTGTGAAAATGGTTGATGCTGAAAGACTTTTTCTTTTTAAGAACATAAAATAAACTTGGAGGAAAAGTGGTGAGGAGCAGAAAAGAAATTTGCATGGTGGGGGCAAGGAAAATAGAGATCCCACCCAGAAGTATTTCTGGCATCAGTCACTCCATGCAGAGGTCTCTGAGTGGTTTAACCATAGAGCCCATTCAGAAATGATAGAATCACAGCCCCAAGTATTTAGCTTTATCTTTATGTATGCACTGCTTTTAATTCCTTATTGAAAAGACAGGTTTTCACATATTTTAAAGTTATAATGTATTGTTTTTTTCTGCTGCAATTTGAATACACTAATAAGAATATACTAACCAAAATTCAAATAACGATTGAGTGCCCACATTAACAAAAACAGTTAGCTGGTATATTTACATCTTTATACATTAATTTTTAAGCTGTATGACAATGACTACAGCAAAAAATGTTATCAGTGACTTTTTGTCCCCTGGCCCAGGGTTTAAGTAGTGGTCTTGAGTTTTTTCCATGTGTGATGTACACTGGCATGTAAATTCACCCATATCTCACTCAGTAGAATGCAAGCAATGGGTTTCCATAAACAAGAAATAGTCAAATGAAACCTCCCCCTGCCCCACCCCCTGACAATTTATGGTACTAGGCAACTTTCTTTTTAATTTTCTTGTAAATGTTACCTATATTAAACGTAAAGTGTGTCTTTAGGATGCAGTTTGTGCAAAATGCAGAAATGTAAGGAGTTTTTTTGTTGTTTGGTTTTTTTTTTGTTTGGTTTGGTTTTTTACTGGCCTCAGAAAAGCAGCCATGAGAAAGAAACTTTCAATGCAATGTGATACTCGATTTCTTGTTTTCCATGCTACTTACTATGTTGCATTTTTCTACTGGGGTTGAAAATTTTTCAAGGTCTACTTGAACAGAAGAGAAAACAATTATGGTTGGGTACTAATTCACCTAATAAATATAGGACTTCAAGTTTTAAATCATATTAGATTTTAGTGTTTATATGAAGTCTTAAAATAGCTTGACACCTGATCAAATGTTGTATTTAATATCTTATACAATTTTTATTCTTTGGTTTTTTGGTGTATTTTTATTTTCTTTTTAAGATACAAAATAATGATAAAATATTGTCTGCAAGAATATTGTCTGCATATCTGATCAGATGGCATTTAATAGAAGATCTTAGTATATTGTAATACATCTTTAATAGATTCCTTTTATTATATGGTTAAGTGTCTGCTTGTAGAATTGCTGTTGTCTGCTTCCAGCTTTGAAAATAGGTTTAGTAAGAAAACCCAGAACCTGTCTGCTTTTAAAATATTTTTGCAGTGTGGACGGAGTAGTGGTAATAATCAGAGCACATATTTTCTGAACTCTAGAGTATCTTTCTAGTAGTTTTTTTTAAGTATGGTAGGTTAATTTTTGTTGTTAGGGGTTTTTTTTAGTAGATTCTAATTACTAACAGATCTCTCATCTATTTTTTGCATTCAAGGCTAGAACTGTAAGAAATATTAGTCTCTTTAGTTGCAGTGCTATTTCTCTGTTTTTAGCACAAAAATGAGTACTCATGATTTCTCTGATTTCACACAAGGTTTTTCTGATGCCTGGGTTTTTTTGCTATCATCTATCAACTATGCAAAACACTTTGTCCAAGCATTTTTCTTGCTTTTTTATTTTCACTGTACCGCAAATATTCCTCTATCCAGTATTATGTTCCCACTGGAAATATTGCTGCATTTGACTGCATGATATGGCCAAAGCTTGAGAAATGCCAAATAAGCATTTCTTACCTCTTTTTCCTTTGTAGTTCACATTTTCTTCCTAGAGAAAAGACTTAAGGTTTAACATTAATATTGTATATTAATGTTATAAAATATATGGTATATAAAATATATGAGTTTTCTTAATATTTCAGAGGTGCAAAGTATGCTTAAATTAGAGCTACAAGAAGATTGTGGTTTAACTGCATAGAGTAACCTCTGATGAACACCCTACACATTCAAATAAAATTATGTGAAGTTTGTGTCTGCATTTAAGGCTCATGTCTTGCAAATAAAGTGCCTCTTTTTGTTCAAGTTGTCTGTCAGCACTTGAAATGTAACAACTGCTTGAAACTGCAGCCATTCTGCAGATAGTGAGTTTGTCAGTGCCTTCCACAATCCCCTTGTTTATAAAGAAAATGTATCCTCCTCTGTGTTTACGATTCTTAATAAGCGCTATAAGAACAGCAAAAAGTTCTCTGTGTTTATAAAAATAGAAGGAAAAAAGTAAACTGAAGATGTCAGACAGGACAGAAGGCAAATTTTCTGTTTCATGCAGCTAAATATTACATTTATTACACAGTGAGGATTTTTATCTACTATTTATTTAATATATAAAAATTTTTCTTTCGTTTACCAAAATTGTGTTAGACCTGAGCATGCCTGATAAATGTTGACAGTAAAAGCCTATCAAAAATGGTATATGCAATTCTTTGTCTTTTGAATTTGTCGGTAATCTTTTCCAATCCAGTAAATTTCTTTTAACAGTATTTTTCACTCCAGGCACTGTGTTGCTACAACACTCTTAACTATTTTTCTGTAAGGTTTTGCATAGCACTTTGTGGTTGCCCTGGCTCTGTTGGAAGTAGTTTGGAGAGTTCTGGTCTGAATTTTGGATGACTTTTCTCATTATCCTCGTTTGATAAATCACCTTTCCCCCTCTTTGAGTTACTGGTAATCTGCACAATTTGATGGAGCTATCTGTCCCACTCTGATACCTGCAGGGAGGAGATTTAAAAAAAAAAAAAAAAAGCCCAAGATAATAGTGCTCAACAAAGAACAAAATATGGAAAACAGTTACAGAAAGAGCCGGTACATTCACCTAACAGCTGGTAAAAACCAGCCTTGTAATCTGGATTTGAGCTTATTTTACTGGAAGTTATATCTGCAGCAGAGTTTGTTCTGCTAACAGCAGTACAACTTTGAACAACAAACATATCTTCTGCCTTGAATTCAAGACAGATGTGCAGGAAGTGAACATACTTTAAATGTTAGCAAGGAAAACAAATGTTTGTTCTTTAGTATTTGACTATTAGTGACAAAAGAATATGAGAAAATATTGGGTTTGTTTTCTTACTTGACCACTCATGTTGATATATAGAAATGATGAGCAAGGAGACTTTGTCAAAGGTTTAACTAAATGATTTTGCTCGAGAAGGATGACAAAGTGTCTCACACACTGCATTATTTCAATGTTCTGTGTAGGATTTATTAATGTGTTGTACTATCACGTAGTCTGGGTCCAAGAGATGCTCTAAATGGAAAGCAATCAGGAAAGAATGGCTGGACATCTGGAAAATAAGACTCAAGATTAGTTTATTTAATAGAAAGTCCGAGGTGACCTGAGCATTATTTATCCTAACAACGATGAGTGTGTACAAGCATAATCATTTGAAACTCATAATACTCACTCTTCACAAATATTTCAGAAACTTCTGAAAAGACGTCTTACTGATTAAACAAGTTATGAGGACAAAAAAATACATGATTGGATCAAGTTATTTGGCCACTGTTATACTAGCAAGTATAAGTAAACCTGCTGCCCAAAATTGTTATTTCTGTCCATTTAAGTTATGGGAAAAAATGTTGGCCGCAGGAAGATATGCAGACCTTTTTTCCTGTTATGTGGTAGGTCTGTATTTCTTT